ATTGAACGCAGCAGCATAGTTGTTTAAAGAGAAGATAGTAGAGTAGGTAGTTTTTAACATCATCTGTGGTTACGGCAGCCATTATGGCTTCCTCTTTTTTCGTTTTCCGTTCAGTGTCGTTATATATATCCTCATTCGGCTCCTCAATTTACGAAGTTATCGCTGCTCGAGCGTCGCTTATCCGAACCTCTAAAGTGCAGAGCGGTGCTGTGGTGATAAGTTATTAGAAATTAGCAGTAATTTATTTGGCATAATGGGGGTGTGCGATAGACTTACCTCCACGTGGTGCACCCTGGGCAACGTATACTCATGCGGCAAAAAAGTCTATTAACTGGCAGTTGACTTCTCATTTCAAACAGCCATCACCTCACTCTATGCCATATTCGACTACTTTCACAGTACTTACCTCACCTTTTTTCTACCTTCGTGTTTGCCTCTTACATCTTTGAAACACTCTTCTCTTCCCTCCCCCCCTCTCGACTTTTTTTCAATTTGATGTTCCTTCCCCTCTGTGAAGTCTGAAGTCAACTAAAGGGCTTATGATAACCATCAAAACGCCTGCCATTTGATATAAATAAATGGTAAATATTTGGCATAATGAGTGTTTGCGTACACTCTACGTCATTTTCTTCAAATAATTATTTCAATCTGATGGTCACTTGCTCTGTTTATATTTCCCACTTTTATTGGTTTCAACTATCAACTGTCAAATTTTCTAAGTCTGACAAATCCCAAATTTTACCAAACTACCACTTATTATTATATTGCCATTCCCAATCTTGATTTTAAATGCGGTTTGTTGCTATCAACTTTTAATTTTTGCTTTTGCTGTTTACAGATGGATGAATGTACAAAATACTCAGTCGTAACGAATATTCCCGATATGTACTCCTTAATTTGAGGTGATAAGTGAACAGGTGAAAATCTCTAACCCTACTGGCCCAATTCTCTTAACCTTTACCTAAATTTAAATCCAAAACCAGGCCTTTGGAGGTCTAATTTACGAAATGTATAATTGAATACCAAACATATGATTATTACTAATAGTTACCATAAATTGACGAACTTCTATTTTATTCCTTCCAGACGAATTGCATTTTAGCATGCACAAAAGCGACTTAACATTCAATTGGTGGTGTCTTCCCGAAAAAGATTTTCCATGTTCTCTGTAGGGAAAACCCAGAAACATTAAAGTGATATGGTGGCGTTTGAAAAACTATAATTGTCATAAATAGGGGAACATATTGGACGTCTAGTTTGTGTGGCTATGCACAACTGACTAAGCAATAATTAACTGAAGTATTTGCTAAAATGTGATTTTTTACCCCACGCTCTTTTCCTGAGGCTTGTTCCCTCTGTCTACTTCTGAATTTTATCCATTGGCTTTCATCACATTCAGTGCTTATGCTAATTCAGATCACTTTTTTTGTAATTTGCATCATGGTAGGACTATTTGAGAATCGTGTATCGAAGTTCATGGGATGCATTTTCAATGCTTGCTTTGTAGTATACTGTTACCCGCAATATTAGGTATTTACTACACTTAATTAAAATATAATAATAATAATTTATCGTTCTGCATTCATACGGAACGTCTTATATCTTGGCTTCTCGACGCTATTCATATCTGTGTTCATGTTATTTCGTGTGTCTGCAAAAACGAAGGGCCTTTTTTTCCTGAACTTACCTCTCAAATGCTCTCATTTCTTACTTGATAGCCGTTTCATTAATTATGATGCTATATTCATTGAGGCGAATAATTGAAGATGAACAGCCCGATCAAATTGCTCTGTATTTGCTAAGACTGAGGTTTTATGAGTAAGCTGGAAACGAGAATGACGGTCTATGAGGCACTAATCACCACAAAGGTGTATCTTCAATCTGCTCGTCAAAGAATCCCTTTTTACTATAGACCAGACTTTACAAACTTTTTCTTTTCTTGGAGAATAGACCTATTTTTTATTTTGTATTTCACTTCACCGTCATAGGGCCAAGTCGTGCAAGACCGTGACTGGTAGTGATAGTCCCGCAACTCCTGTAACTCCAAGAGCTGACACCATCTCAACTCCAACTCACGCGGAAGGTGTGGAGGGGGAGCTGAAAGCAAGTGGTGAGACTCCAATGATTCAGGCCTCTGGCTCTTCTTCAAGCTGTACACCACATCAACAGACTTCGACGACACAAGATGCTGAGGATGAAGGTCAGAGTGATGGTGGAGCTACACCAACACAGGATGAATCAGAAATCCCTAACGATGGTATGCTGAAATTCTGTGTTTGCTTTTTCTCTAGTACTTTGAGCGGAGGAGAAGTGGGCTGAACAAGGATAATGATAGATGAGCTGAAAATGTCTCGCAGTAAGAAGTTCATGTGTTGAAGAGGAAGACTAAGGTTGGTAGTGAGTATGCAGGCTGTAGGAAAAAACCTTACAATACGAGCCTTTTGCCGATTAAGAGAGTGAGTTACTTTACTACTCAAATGCTTCTTGCCAACAATCAGATGAAAAGAGAAGGATGTATCGATTTACTCAATTCGAAGGAAAGAATGTGGCATGAAAGCATACCCTCAGAATCGATAAATAATATCATTAAAAGAGAGCCTAATTTCCCTTTTCTCTGATTAGATGTTGGAAACTATATAGCTTGCCTTACTTTTCGATTACTAGGCGAATGTTTTAAACCACCAATTTTAATCATCTTTTTCCTCTTTTTTTGCCTTTAGCTCCATCGGTTACTAGTTGCTTTGCTTTCTCTCAAACAGGTTCAATGAAGTTTCCTCCTCCGCCAGTGCAAAAAACGTCGACTGTGTCAGGCAATCTGCTCCTTAATATTCCAAACATGGTATGGTCATCTAACCTCACTGCTACCAGCTGTGATAATTTTTATTCTTCAGTCCTCCCAAGGGGGAAGAAATAGTTTTTTTGTGATCTTTATCATGCTGAAGTACTCGTAGACAGCACATAAGTACTGGAGTCAGTGAGGATTAAATTTAGAAGATTTGTTTTCATCTTTTTATTCTCCCTTTGTTTGCTAGTTTTAGTCGATTAGGCACTGAGTGCAAAAGCTCATAAGATCACATTTGTATATTATTTTATGAGAATTGTAGCTGTTTGAATAAGTCAACTGGTTATGGCTGACACCAGAAGGGAGTCAATCGTTATTCATTGTGCTTTGTAATACAGGGATTATCATATTGTCACAGTTAATATTACAGAATCACTTTGGTTATGGAATTACAGCGGTCCGATCAGATAAACTGGTTATTTCACCAAGAGTGGTACTGTTAAACTAGTCTATTAAGTGATTTTATAATATTCAAGTAAAGGCAAATTGGATGTACTCCAGTCTCCTTGGTTTGCACATGCTGTTTTCTTTTACTGCTTGTGTGTATATGGCAAACAAATTTTGTATGGGTCGAGTACGTCTGCCTTATAACAACCCGCCTGCTTTTGCATTCCAGAGTCTACCACCCACCTTCAATCCCCTGAACCAACCGCCTTGGCATGTCGGACTCCCTCCCGGTCTCAACAACCTTGATGGAGGACGGCCGCCTCAGCCATTTTTTCTTGCCTTTCCCCCGTCAATGCTCTCTAGGCCACCGAACTTCTCCAACATTCCCACCAGTCAAGGGAACCAATAAGCACACGTGTTTCACACACAAAACTTGCCTACGCCCC